CAGAAGAAAAGGTACTTGTATCAGTGAACAAACTTATTGCCTAGTTCTTAGTTTCTTTTTGCTTGTGCCAGAGGCCACATATGCACCAGTAGGAAAGAGAAAGAGAAAATACCCCCCAATGGGACCTGGTTATGTAGCAACTCCCCCCCTTCCTCCATTCTTTCATCTCACTAGGATCCTGGGCACACATTCTTATGCACCTGATGTATTTTTCAAGCCACTAGGGCTGAGATTTGAATCATAGCTGGCCATATGGAATCTGGTTTCCTCCATGAAAAGCTTAACCATTATGTTAGGACAACTGCCCCCAGATCTTGGTTTCTAAGTACTATTTTCCATAAAAATGAACCAGGACTCCTTGGAGAAATTCTAGGTCTAAGGTAATGACAAGGAGAGGCTAACGAACATCTTATTGTCCCACAAAGTAAAGAAATGCTCAAAAACTAATGTGGACATTTCATAAGGATGTTGCACTTGGCTTGAAGGGCTCCCACTGCTCAAATTTGGGACAACTGAGCATCACAAGCACAAAACAAAAAAGCCTGGAACTAATGAACAGATGAATTTTTAAAAATTCTATTAGTCGGGCTGGCAGGTGGTGTGGTGGTTAAGGGTGCTGGACTCCCACATGGTCGACAACGGTTTGAGTCCCAGACCTGGTGGCTTCCTTTCTCATGTTCTCTCTCACTCTCGCTCTGTCCCTCTCTGGTCAAATTAATATGAAATAAATTAATAAAGTTAAATAAAATAATTCTTTTTAAAAATTCCATTAGTCCATAGCATTACACATACATGGAAACAGGGTGGGAGAGCTGTCTTTAAAATGGAGAGACTGGGGCCAATGGTAGCACATCGATAAACTGTGATGCTCTATGAGGCAGACCTACATAGAAGGGTTACCAGTTCATGTCTGGAGGTCTCTCTGAATAAACTGGGCACACATTCTGGGTGCCAGTGATCTGGGCTGACTAAAGAAGGGTGTGGATGACAGCATCAGGGCCCTGTCAGGGGGGCTGTGTCTCTTGTCTCTCTCAATCATGAAATCAATAAACCTAAGTTTAAAAAAAAAAAAAAAGCTGGCTTGGCGGTGTAATAGTAATAAGCTAGTCAAGAAAAGCTGAATTTGGGACTAACAGGTGGCATGGTGGTTAAGGCGCTGGACACTCCCGCATGGTCAACAGCAGTTCAAGTCCTGGACCTGGTGGCTTTCTTTCTCACCTTCCCTCTCTGTGTGTGTGTGTGTCTATCTCTGGTCAAGTTAAAATAAATGAATGAATAAATAAATCATATTTTAAAAAAAAAAAGCTGAATACCATGTGGTGACAATGGTTCAAATCTCCAGTCTGGTTGGTCTGGAATATGCTGGTCATGCACATGAATACTCGGGATTTGACTGGAGGAAGACAACTACAGCATGACTAGAACTTATAGAGGCTACTCCCCTCGTTCTCTCATATTCATGTGCACGCACACATTTTCTATCATGAATAAAGAAGAAAAAGAGAACCAGTAAACACTACCTTGACCAAATGAGCATCAACAATGCCAAGGCAAACTGACATTATGTGCTTCCTGAGAAGATATAATGGAGAATACGCATCACCTTTGAAGTGCTTGCAAAAATATTTTATCTGAATCTAATCATAAGGAAACGAGCAAATCTAGACTGTGGTTCAGAAAAAAAAAAAAAAAGTAAAAAACTGGCCTGGATCTTTAAAAAAATGTCAGTATTGGGCCAGCAGGTGGTGTGGAGGTTAAGGTGGCTGGATCCCAATTGGCCAACTGTGGAAAGTGGCCATTCTGAACAAACATGTGATAGTTGGAGAAATCTGAATATTTTACTACACATATGATGATGCTACTATACAGATGTTAAATATTTGGGGTGAGAAAATGGTATCATACTTATATAAGAGCAGCATGTTTATGATCTTAGAAGATATTTAGGGGTGAGATGTCACAATGGCTTTAACTTTCAAATGGTTCAGTGCACAAAGTGTGTGTGTAAAGAGATAAAACAAAAGTGGCTAAATAATAATTAGTGATTCTAGATGAAAAGCATGTAAGTGTTCAATGTATTCTGCCAGCAACTTTTCTGTAGGCTTATAATTTTGCTATAGGGCGTGTGCGCTCGCCAGACAGAGAGACATAGAGACAGAAAGCAAGAAATCATCCCCCAAGGGGGATGGTCACGCCACAATTCCTTCTCCTCCATTCTCCTCTAGGGATCTTGGGCACGCACGCACACGCACCCGGCGTGAATTTTAAGCCACTGGGTCCGAGACTCGAACCGTGGTCAGCCACATGGGAGTCAACGACATAGCCATTACGCTAACTGCTGGTTCCCTAATTTTTATAATTTTTCAAAATGAAATAGTTGTGCTCTCTCTGTGTCTTGCTCTCTTGCTCACAAATGAGAAAATAAATAAAAATAAAAATAAAAAAGACCAGCTAGAGTGATGCAGCAGCAACCCAACACTCTGCAATGGTGAAGTCACATAAGACATTCCTGAGTTCATGACCTAAAGTTTTCCTATACACACACTGGGTGTGTGCCATTATCCTGGTTGGCTGGGGGTGGATTGGGCATGAAGACCCTGTTGGGGTGCCTCTCACTTTTTCCTTCCCTACCTTAGTCCTCCCTCCCTCTTTTTATGTAAGGAAAGAAGGCAAAAAGAAAAAAAGGGGGGGAGGGGAGGAAGGAATGAGTGAATGAATGAATCAATAAATAAATACATACATAAATAAAATGAAATAGAGGAGACAGAAAGGAATAACTGAAAGTCCATCAATGAGGACCAGGTTTAATAAATTATGACACACAATAAAAGCTAATGCAGGTATACAAGAAGAGGAATGAGAAACACTTTTCAAGATACTCTTTTAAGGACCAGCCACGGTAGTGCAGGCAGTAGAGCCCTGCTGTGTGATACTGGGGTCACATAGAAAGCCTGGGTTCAGACCTTGAGTCGACCTGAACATACTAAGCATGCCTATAATCCTGGTTGACTGGTGGGGGAGAGCTGTGGAGTGGCAAGACTCTGGCAAGGGAGCCTTTCTCTCATGAAAAAAAAAAAAGATAACTTAAAAAGACATACATTTTTTGAGAGATTTTTGCTATAGGGCATGTGCGCTTGCAGGAGAGACAGACAGAGACAGAGAGACAGAAAGTAAGAAATCACTTTGTGGGGGGGCAATGGCCACACCTCCATCCCTTCTCCTGCATTCCCCTCTCAGTATTTTGGGCACGCACCACATACGCCCAGCATGAGTTTTTTTTTTTTTTTAAAGAATTATTTAACTTTATTTATTTATTTACGTTAATTTAATCAGAGAGGGACACGGATAGAGAGAAAGTGTGAAAGCAAGCTGCCAGGTATAGTACTTGAACCACCGTCAGCCATGTGGAGTCCAGCCCTTAACCAGCACACCACCTGCCAGCCCCAGCGCCTGGTGTGAATTTTAGGCTACCGGGTCCAGGACTTGAAGAGCAGTCCACTATGTGCGAGTCCAGCAACACCATTATACTATCTGCTGGTTCCATTATTATTATTTTTTTTAATAGGGCATAACATGCCATAGGGGACATATGCTCATTGGGTGGGAGGGAATGAGAAAGCAAACAACCAGGTCCAGCGCCTTAACCACCATGCCACCTGCTGGTCCTGAGAAAAAATATTTTATACTGACTATATATGCCAAAAAACAACCAAAACAGGGAACCAGCAGTTAGCGTAATGGCTATGTCGCTGGACTCCGACGTAGTCAACCGTGGTTCATGTCCCGGACCCGGTGGCTTAAAACTCACGCCGGGCGCGTGTGTGTGCGTGCCCAAGATCCCGAGAGGAGAATGGAAGAGAAGGGATTGCGGCGTGACCATCCCCCCTGGGGGGTGATTTCTTGCTTTCTGTCTCTATGTCTCTCTCTGTCTGTCTGGCAAGCGCCACGTGCCCTACAGTGAAAAACTCTAAAAAAAAAAAAACAAAAAAAAACAAAACAAACACCTGGAATGAACACTGTTCAAAATTTACCTGACTCTAGTCACCTTGGAAGAAAGGAACAACCAAAAGTCCATCAATAAGGACCAGGTTTAATAAATGATGAGAAACACATCTACAGGAAACAGTGGTTTGTGGACATGATCTAATGACAGTCACTGTGTGCTGGGGAGATGGAACTGGGTGCAAGTGTAGGCGGGTGAGAGATTTTTGTCTATGTATTTCTGACTTTATATATTTAAAATATTTCTGAATCTTAAAAATACATTATCACTTTAAATAAGGAGAAAATAAAAAAAGGAAATTAAGTTAGGCAAGCAGAGGTAGGGAGCTAAAGGGGTTATCAGTAAACAGAATAAAAGAAACTCACAGAAGAAAGTAGTGGGACCAGCAGATGGTATAATGATTATGTTGCTGGACTCTCACATAGTTAACCACAGTTCTAGTCCCAGACCTGGTGGCTTAAAACTCACGCCGAGCGCATGTGTGTGTGTGTGCCCTAGATTCAGAGAGGAGAATGGAGAAGAGACTGCGGCATGGCCCCTTTAGGGGGGTGATTTCTCACTTTTTGTCTCCCAGTCTGTGTCTACAGCGAGCACACATGTCCTAGAGCAAAAATCTCTCTAAAATAAAAAAACAAACAAACAAAAAAACAAGGTCATTTGAAATTTAACTTTTCAGGGAGGTTCCTGCATATTTTAATATTTAATACAGCAGGAAGGGAAAATGGCACAATGAAAGCCCCAAAGTTCCAAGAGATGGGACCTAGGGGGTCACACTGAAAGATGAAATGAGAAAAGACATAGGGAAAAGGTATAAAAATGATGTTTATAAACTCTCTTTCTGAAGATGGTCCTTATAAGGAAGCAGTGTCAAATAGCTCATGTTCTTGCAGGCTTGGATGCCTTCATGGGGAGTGACATGGCCACACTTAAAAATATCTCACCACATTTAGAATATAGACTCTTAAGTACATAGCAGCTCATGTACTGGTTTTCTCACCTGGACTAGGGCCTTCTAAAATTTCTTTGATCACCATCCATGGTTCTTCCAATATGGGAATCACTGTTGGTCTGTATACTGTAAGTCCTGTTTAGGAGAAATGTAATTCATTTTTATCCTGGAGATAAAGAGTTGTTCAAAGTGTAGTTACCTGGGACAACAGACATCTCTAGTGAAAGAATAGTTAACGAAACTGACTAAGAGAATTAGGTTGTCAT